GAAAAATAATAAAGAATAATCTTGACGAAATCAAAAGGTGATACGTCTTACGTACGTATCACCTAATAATGTTGAAATACATGGAACTGTTATCTATAGTAAACGATAACATTATATTGCAATGCATGAGTTCTTGTAAGTTGTTCAGTGCAAATTTAACTAGTTCACGGAAAAAGACAGATGTGCATGTACATGTATGCACACTTGGGTAATATCGTCATCGTGATGTAAATGCTGGACTCTGTCCCCATTTGAATGTTTACTGTGGCAATTGCCTTGATATTATCAATCTTCGGTGAATTGAATCATAGACGAAAATAACTGGAGGAAGGGAACAGAGAAGGAAAATTCTGTGGGTTGCAGAATTTGTGGATTTTTTTTTTTATTTATAAGCAATAAAAAAATATCCATTAACATATAGTGAAGGTCTACAGTACATGTATGACATGTCTGTATTTCAGTTTTGAATGAAATTCATTATATTCCATAATTTCCATTTGTCACATTGTATTTTGTGTTTTATAGCGTGATGATACTAATTACATGTAAGTGATTCAAGTACTATGTGGTAAGAGAAGAAAAATCACCATGCATGCGACTATTCCAGGGGACAGATCCTCAAAATCGGGATAGGCAACGGGGGGTGTACAGTAGGGCTGCGACGAGAAGTCGAATGCTCGAGTACCCGCACTGTTTGACAACTACTCGAGTACGATTTCTCATACTCGAATATTCGGCCGCAAAAAAAATTTTTTTTTTTTAAAATTCCTGGTCACCTGGCACTGTCCAGGCCGACACTTACTCGGCCGACACTTACCCGTGCCAGGAAGAGCGCCTGCCGCTGGCATGGTACCGTCGGTAAAAATGTTTCCAAGCTCAATCACTGTCAAACTCACCACTCAGAAACTGGAACCAAATGTCCGGATTTCTGTTTGGACTCGGAGGAAAATGGATTATTCTGCCATCTTTAGTTTTTAAAACGGCATTGTTTACTGTTATTATTATTATTAAATCGGCGCCTTCAACTGCAACTTGAAGTAAAATTGCATGAGTTTTCGGAGATGGACCTGGGATACTGCTCCTGTGGTATGGTGGTGGCAAAAAAAATATTAAAAAACATGACGTCCGAATATTCAAGTATTCGCTTGTAAACCTGGGAGTGTACTCTGGTACTTCATTACACAGTTGTGCACAACCTTAGTGTACAGTATGTTCTCAGTTTTAACCAGTTCATGGAGAAACTTGTACGCACACATTGATGATTTATAACGTCATCAAGAATGGAATCGATTTGTACCGAAATTGTACATCATTTCAATACTTGCATGAATTATTACTATAGAACCTTTCTCAGTCTTTAAACTCTTTATAATCTTGTTTTGCCATTTAATTCAAAATAATAGTGTCACGGTCGGTGGACATGAATGCTGCCGCAGTTACAGTTATTTTTTAACAATAAGCCAGTTCTGTCTGCGGGCATTGGCATTCATTTTTTCTAAAATGCACAATAAAGTTCAGTGGGACGTCTCCATTGTGTAAAAGATCTGTGGATATTTGCGGGCCATTTGTACCAAAGCTTACTATGAAGTTTCAACTACTGGTAGTCTATTTTTGCAACACACAAACTTGTAGGCATACACTGCTCCCACGGACATACAATGTACATGTAAAAACAATGCCCATATTGTATGCTACGTGTGATATATTCCCACATCCCTCTTTTGCATGATAGATGGTTGCGTTGGACGGTCTTGGAATATTTATCATTAGCTGCTAAGGTAACCCTTAGTTAAATATTAATCAGGATCCTCAATAATAGTCTTAGTAGTGACGTGTGTGAGACTAGATGTATTTGCTTTCATAACGATTGTGTACTGCAGCTAGTCATATTTGTCTGCTTCTATTCAGTGATGTGCAAATATGCGAAAAGGGTGGATTTATTATTTTCTACCAAATATACATACCTGTACATGCAGCGTATGCAACGCCCGGCTGGTTCTGATTTTACTAGGGTCAAACGATGATTGATGGCCTATTCAGACTGGAGCAATTTATATGAATCTTGTATGAGGAAACGTTGAATCTTGTATAAAGAAACGTTGAATCTTGTATAAAGAAACGTTGAACGATTGAATCTTGTATCAAGAAACGTTGAACGATTGAATCTTGTATAAAGATTAAGGAATTATTATATACCAATAGCAAAAGGGCCATGCAGACTCGATAACAACATCATTATATAGAAACGTAAAAAGAAACTAGTTTTGGAAAGGTCAGTTGACATGCCAGCTTACACGGGGGCTCGGGGCGAATTAGCCCCCGAAAGTCATAAAAGAGCCCCCAAACTTTGCATAGAGTTCAATGCAAAACAAATTAAAGAGTGTTATTTTCATGCAAGCAAGCTTGAAAAGTAGCCCCCAAAATGTTTAAAGTATTTTTTTCCCTGTTACCAATCATCAGAGTGTGCTTATGATAAGCCCCACCCAGTTATACAATTTTTGTATGATATGAGGTGCAGATTAGAGCGGGACTCTTATTATTTGAAGGTATGCTCAAACAGTATGCAATTTGCTAAATGACGTTTCGTTATAAGACATTTCTCTCTATATTAGACGTTTGGACTAGAAGACAGTAATTATCGTTCAGATATGATTCTTGTATACATTGTAGCGATTCTAAATGGGGGGGGGGGGGTGAGCTACAAGCAGGGTTGATATGGGTGTGGTCAGCTCATGAACATGTAGCTCATACATGTAGGTGATAGAGAGAGGTAGTGGTGACGCAGTCTTGCAAGCTCAAAGGTCAATTCATTGAGCTACCAATGAATAGTTCCCTCCCACATGCGATTTCTATTGAGTCTACTCGAGGGAACTGTCTAAGCACCCCTTGAATTTGACCTGTCTCGATTCTAAAGCATGAGTTCCAGTGACGTAGCTCTCTTCTACTGGCTATTAAACTTGTCTTTTGGTTATATGTTTTATCAATTTTAAAAAGGATAAGGAACAATAACAAAACAGATACAGAACAATAATTAAATGTAACAATGATAAACAAGAGAATCATGATAACAAGTGATGTCTTTGTGAAATATACACTGTTGTGATTTGGTGGATTAGCAAGTGCACCTTGCATCCCACAGGACATCGTAAATGTTTCAACTCCCTGTCATAGCACTAACGTCCTTTGGCAAGAAATTAATCTACACTTTCCCTCTCTCTCTCTCTGTTTCTCTCACTTTCTCTCTATCTTTTTCTCTCTCTCGCTTTCTCTCTCGCTTTCTCTCTCTCTCTCTCTCTCTCTCTCTCTCTCTCTCTCTCCTGTCCCTTTCTGTCTCGTCTCAACCTACTTGAAGTTAATATTGTACTCAAGGTATAATATCGTAGGATAAAATCCCTTTAGTATCATGATAGCTCAGCAAAAACCAGGATAACGATATGGATCTTTGTGAAGCACATTATTCTATTTTGTAGAGTAGCTGCACCATATAATTTGTTAAAATTTGTTCTGTCCACATTTAATATTAATTTTGTCCATTCGTCTTAAATATCAAGTACACCCACCTGCTCCTCATATTAACAGTACAAGAAAGTAGAAATCAATTTCATGTGGCCTTAACAATTTGTGTATCTACAATGTATTGGGCCATCTGCAGGGAATAATTTTCCCCAAATTTTTTGATTAGCAATTTCAGCCGATGGATAAATATTTCAAATGAAATTCTGTACATTTCTATGGAAGAAAACTGCTACACAAAAGATATTTTGTATAGCAGTCATGCAAAAATGCATAGCAAATTGCGATGCGATACCAGGAAAATTATTCCCTGATCTGATAAGGACCTTTCTGGCTTGTTGCCATGGAAAATGATAAACATATGTGTGTGTGAGTGTGTGTAAGTAAAGCTTATGGCTGTTACATGACCATGCACTGACTGCATGTTCATGTTACGTTTACATGTATGTTGGTATACCGTATCTACATGTACATGTATATATCGTCAGTTTGGAGCCAAAATGGTTTTAAGTTTTAACTTGTATCTTTAATGCAGAATTACCACTCTTCTGGTTCCGTACAAATATTCCATGTATGCATGGAATTTATTACTGTCTCTTCATTTTCTTCTCACGTCAATGCTTCCCCATGTACATTTCTACTACAACTCTACAAGTAATCTGTTGATAGTAATCTGTTGATAGAGTAGTAACTTGGCCTTCAGGAGCAAAACTATATTGTACATGTATTTTTAGTAATTGTTTGGATACAATAGATAGAATAATTGAAGGAATTGCATGATTTGAGTCAGAAACAATTGATGTTATGATTTTGCATCCACATTTATGATTAATGAATGATTTCAGGACAATTTTTCATTAGATTTGCCATAACAGCTGTTGTGGTTGTTATGCAAATCATGTCTGATTTAAATGGCTTCATGCAGGAAAGCAGAATGATTTGGCAATCCCGCAACCAGAGCTGCCAACCATTTCGTTTTTCAAGGAATTATTCTGTTTTTTTCCTTATAAATATGGTAGAAGTTTTTTCTTCTCAAAATACTGTCTTTTTTCTTTTTTGTTGCACATACTGCACCTCAACCAAGGCCCTAAAATGTTGATCACTACTTCAATAGAAAACTTTCTAGAGATTAATGATTTACAAATAGTAAACGAAAAGAAAGTAAAGTTAAAGGCATAAATATTCTCAAATAGAATGAAATGCCACTAATACAAATAAAACCTTCCTATAAGTAAATAAACTATAGGTTCTAATGTGGAAATACTGTAACAGTTTGAAGAATGGATATTTCTGCATTAGAAGTGTGTCGCTCATGGTTGTAATTGAGACCTGGGAAATTTATTGAAACTTCTAATGTTCATGTCATTTCAATATAGTCTGGATAATCTTGAATTTAAAAATTAAAAAAAAATAAAAAAATAAAAAATGTATATTGTCTACCAGTTGATGACAATTTTTGAGTAAATTTTCCATCCTTTTGTTTTCAGATTGCCTTCAACCGTTTCCTAAACCAGCAGCATCAACGCAAACTCTCCGGTACCATGACGTCTCTCAATGGCTCCGGCGTCAAGGCCAACTGTGGCGGCGACATGGACACAAAGAGGAAATTCCGCGTCTGCGTTGCCACCACTAACCGAGCAGACTATTCCAAGCTGGGCAACATCATGCAAGCCATAAAAGACGATGAGATGCTAGAATTGTCAACCATCGTATTAGGATGTCATTTGATTGATGATTATGGGTAAGTTATTCAGTCCTAATTGCTATCATGTCCATTTTGAGTGGATTTTAATGGATTGGTTTTCACATTGGTGCATTGTGCATTGTGCGTTCAGATCTGGGCTACTGTATACAGTATGCAGACAGTTCACATAAAAAGACCAGTGATGTATTATGAGAAATGAAATATGTTTTTCTCTAATATGATTAGCATACATGCCAACTGTTCAGATTAAAGAGGAACATTCCTCTTTTTGGGAGAAGATAATTATCATTTTAATGCAGGTGTTCCTCTTCCTGTACAAATTTGTCTGTAGTATTGAATAGGAGAGTTAGGATTGTTCCTCTTTTTTTTGAAAATAGCATAATTTGTACAGATTTCTGATTTTCAAATGTTGGTATGTATGGATTAGGGCCTACAAATTAAGTACTGTATGCAGAAATGTCAAAAGACCAGAGATGTATTATGAGTAATGGAATATATTTTTCCTAGGAAAAGCTCTCAATAACGAACTATTGTATGCAGAAAAGTCTGATCAAAAGATCAGCGTTTTATTTTATATTCTTGTGCACAAATTGGTGGTATAGCATGGACTTATTTCCATTGATATGATGCTTGTGCAGACGTTCATGTAATATTAGAAAGAAAACTATGTGTATAAATGCATACTCAACAAACTAAATGTGCATATCAGACTTAGAGAGGGGGGGGGGGGGGGGGGACGCACAAGCCTGAAAAATCTTTTAACAAGCGAATAAAGCAGTTAGGGGCCCCCTTCAAAGTGGATTCTTATGTACATAGTACTGAGCAAATTGTTCATAAGGTCTGTGCAATCATGAAAGACAATACCCATCCACTTCATTTATTTTATTCATTTAATCGTTCTGGTATCCGACTTCGCCCCACCCCAACCCGGCTTTCACGATTCAGATATTCATTTGTACCCGACTCTGTTCATAAATTCAACTCACAGGTTAAACGTTAAACTTCTGCGTCGGAAATTAATTAATTGTATGATTTGAAATACCAATGACCAAGGCTTAATTCTGAATTCTTATTTTGTTGTGACACTGGCAGTTAACTATTTTTCTTACTTGCTCTCTTTCTTTCCATTTCTCTTTATGTACTATTTCAAAAAAGTGGAGGGTGGGGGGGAGGGACCTCAAGGCTCCCCGATCCCCGCCGTTCCGTGGGCCCTGACGTGTAGGCCCCTAGGCATCTCAAGAAGCATATTTCTTGCCTGGCTGTAAATTTAGGAATTTGTCATTTTACAACAAACGCATAAAAAAGTATAATTTACTAAAAAAATCTCGGAAAATTATGTCATTTCAGCATTATGTGTAAACCACCTTTATGGAATTAGAAATAAACCATGTTTGAATTTTATTTCCCCCGAGCCCCCTCCCCAATCACTACGCCAGTGCCCCCCCCCCCCTAATTTACACTTTGTTGGCAACTGATCTCCCCTACATTTTTTCTTTTTCTTTTTTTTCTTTCCCTTTCTCTCCTCTTTCCCTTTCCTTTCCCTTCCTTCTCTCTCTTTTAGGTTTTCTATCTCCCCTTCTTTTCACCCTTTTTTTTCTTCTTCTTCCTCACTTTTGGTCCCTTTTAGCTCTCCTTTTTTCATTTTCCTTCCTTCTCTCTTTTTTTTTAGTGGGGGCGGGGGGAGGCAAAGGTCTTTTGCCCCACCACCATCCCGATCCGCAATATGTTGGCGGGAAAATTGAAACTGATATCCCCCTTTGTTATTTACTTCTTTCTCAATTTTCCTTCCCTTTATTTCCTCTTTAGTGACTGGTCCCTCAGAAACTAGTGCTAAGCCAGTCACAGAGAATTCATGATTTCAACTGATGCCTGTCAGTGCATTGTTAATTTGATTTTTCTTCAAATTTCATTTAAAAATCTTTTCATATTGATAAATATGGTGCTTTGGCGTATGGGCTATGGTTGGAGCATTGGATGCGTTGAACAGCGTTGGTGTATTATGTGGATTTATCATATTCATATTCTGAATATTTTCAGCGAATTGAATAATATTGAAAAGGATGCAATTCATAGTTGTACTCGATAATTCTCACTTAAACATATTCTCTCTCTCTTCCTGTCTTGCATAAAGAAAATATGAAAATAATATTTTGCCTTGATTAAGAAAAATTGAAATTTTCTCAGTATTAAACAGGGAGAAGGAAAGGGGAGGAAATTAATCAAAACAAACATTGAAGAATCCAATTCAGTGTTCTTTCGTGATTCATAAGAATGAAAGTACATTAAAAGGTGAAATAATAAATTGAAGAGCGATGATAAATCTATTCTTTGACGTTGATTGATTGAATAAAAAATAATGAAACAATATGGTCTGAAGGTCATATATCTTCGAATATTAGAAAGTTTCATCCCCCATCGTGTTGTTGAACACTATTTGCAATTTAATTTTAATGCGGTGACTTGTCGGTTACGAGCAGAAGGTCATTTCAGGCTTCTATATTCTATAATACTATCAACAGATATCTGAATAGAGACATCTCGTCACATCAAGCTACGAGAAAGTATATCATCTTCTCACAGAATTCTACTCGAAAACCGCATCGAAATTCTTTTCACCCTTTTTTTTCTTCTTCCTCTTTTTTGGTCCCTTTTAGCTCTCCTTTTTTCCTTTCCTTCCTTCTCTCTCTTTTTTTTTAGCGGGGGCGGGGGGAGGCAACAGCCTGGGAGGCAAGGCCCTTTCGCACCCACCTGATCTCCTTCTTCCCCCTTTTCTTTTCTTCTTCCCCCTTTTCTTTTCTTCTTCCTCTTCTTTCTTTCCCATATCTCCTCTTTCCCTTTCCCTTCTTTTCCTTCTCTCTCTCTCTCTCTCTCTCTCTCTCTCTCTCTCTCTCTTTTGCGGAAGGGGGGGGGGGGGGCAAGGCCCGCTCACCCCCGCTGGATCCGCGCCTGTATCTACATTATATCTACTAACGTTAGACCCTAATAATGGATCTAGAAGATTGATTGACCTGGTCTCAGTGACGGGTAAACTTTTTTTTTCTCAATTACTTGGTCTATAACCATGAAAACCGTCTAATTTTACTTTAGATTTTCAAACAGTAACAGTTACGACCTAAATTAGGCCTAAGGCCAAGGGCTGTACTCTACATTTTAATAACAAATTTAACGTTAACGTTAGACTTAACTTAAACTGTTGTTTCTCTGTGATACAAGTGGGATGGGAACACTTTTTTTTCAACAGCAAAAAAAAAAATCTTTCCCCTTTATTTTTTCCTTCTTTTTTTTTTCCTTCCTTTTTTTTCCCTTCCATTTTTTCCCCCTGGATCCGCCACTGATCACAGGGATAAAAGTATACAGCTATGTAACAAGTAAATTTCTAAGAGGGAAAATGCCGACTTAAATAAATGATAATGATAAAATACCAAGGAATTTAGGAGTTTCATGGGTACCAATTCAATGGAAATTTGTATTAAAATAAGAGCCCCCGTCAGCACTAAAAGAGCCCCCGTGAGAAGGCTCACGGGGCTCTTTTTTTTGGGGGGGGGGAAGAGCCCCCGTGGACAAAAATTTAATTTGAGCCCTGATGTAAAATATAACAGATGTTCCAATCATTAAGTCAGTAATTACATGTAGTTTTATCTCTGAATGTACATGTGTACGTGATATGGATATTAAATTAGGGATATACCCTTTGAGGTCTGTATGAAACTTTATGGGCATATTAATTATTAACTTGGCAGGCCAGGTTTCATAATTTGTCAGCAAGTTGCAGCCAAGATCTGAAGGGGGGGGGGGGGGTAGGGGATAGGATAGATGCTCCAGGGGCGTTCTGGACTTCTGGCACGAGAGAATTATAGAGAAATATCCCATAATACTCTTCTTTTTTTTTAAATGGATTACTGAAATGAAACACCAGACAACCACAACCAAATAAATCATTGTTTATGTTCCCCACATGTCTGTAGTGGATAATTGTGCAAACACTTTGGTTCAGAGCTTCAGAATATGATTTCAAATTATGCGATATAATAACTGGTAGTTAAGTTTGTAAATGTAAATACTTTACTTTGGAATGGATTCGATTGAAAAAATTGTGCATGATAATTGATATGAATACAAAACTGCATGGTTATTGTTGTTCAAGGTTTACTGGTAGCAATTAAGCCCCTCGCGGCCTTGGTAGAAAATATTAAGATGAAACTGAAACCTAAAACTTTTGTTAGTGCAGTTGTACAAGTATGAATATTTGATTAAGGTGTAAAATATGAGTGATATTAAAGCAATATTGTACCTGAATGAATGTTGCTTTATTAAAGCCTACTGTACGTGTAGATTTAAAGATAAACTCCAGTACTGGTAAAAAAAAAATAATAATTCTCACAGAATCAAACGAAACTTACACTGAATGTTCAAGATTACAAATAAATGACATGTGCCAAACAATTTTGGAAGAAACTGTATACTGGCTGAGTAATGAGCATAGAAAGACAAGGAAATCAAGGTAGTACTAGCCCCGACACCATGTGTGTTGTCCCATATATAGCTTTCTATGTGAGTGCTTGTTACTTTACCAAGAATCGGTCAAATTTATTATGATTTTGATGACTCCAGAACCTTGCAGTGCTCACCAATACTTACATGCTACATGATCAACTGTTTCTGATCCTTTCTACACCTTTTTTTTCACAATGCAATCACATTACCAGTACTAAAGTTTATCTTTAATTGTTGAAATGGCAGACAGAAGTTTCTATTGCGCTTATGATCACATTGGGAATATGATGTTCATTGCGATGAAGTGATAGAGAGGTATTAGTTGAGATATGGGGTCAGTTGAAACATTGACATTTTCTTGGAGGTCTGCATGTATCGTTAATTTCATGAAAAGCTACCAGTGGAAGTATTTTAACTCTTAAGCTGCCACCCATACAATGCACCCAGTGCCACAGTGCTAATCTCTATTGTGCCAGCCACAAATCTCCTGTGTGCCAAGTTAATTTTAGGGTTGGTTCAAGTGCGTGTTATTTAAATCTTTACAAAAAACAAATCGCTAAATTACTCGAGAAAATCCAATCTGACTGTTGTATACAAAGACGCGTTATCCAAAGCCGATAATCTGATGCACGCGATGGTACTTTCAATAGGGCTGCAAAAGCACTCAGCACGGTGCAATGGGCATGAACAATGACTGTTATTACATATGCTTGCTAGCGTGCACAAAGCAGAGTAGCGGTGGCTCGCTAGCATGAACGTAGCAATCAATAGATAGCGCGCTCGCGTGCACAGAGCACTATAACAATAGCGTGCTAGCAGTCTCATGGCAGGATATGAGTTAACATTAACCATATACATGTACATGCATTTACATGCCTGTACATACATATACATGTATAATAGAAGAATACAAGTCATATACATGTACATTTAGAACCTCCATGCTGTTTGAATTCAAAGGCAAATTGTTTTTTAAAGTATATTTTTTCCATTAATATAGAGGGATATTGTATTTGCATATTCAGATATGATATGAAGGGGTAATTCGTGGCAGATTTTTTGTTATAGGGTGTATTAAAATGGAAGGCAACTACATGTATGTGCAACAAGAAAGGTCCTACAGATTATCACTAAGCTCTGTGTTTACATGTAGATATCACCACTGTTTATTGCATTATATCTGAAAGAGGGTTGATTTTTATAATGCAGCAATGAGTGCTCTAGTGTTATATATCTTTGTTCTCTATTTTGTCACTGTCTTGCCCAGGTCCACATATCGACTGATCGAGAAAGATGGCTTCACCATCGACAGTCGCCTCCACACCATCGTAAGAGGGGAGGATGAAGCTGCCATGGTGGAATCGGTCGGCCTTGCCATGGTCAAACTCCCCGACATCATGCTCCGCCTTAAACCAGACGTCGTCATCGTGCACGGGGACCGCTTCGACGTCCTCTCGTTAGCGGCCTGCGCTGCCCTCATGAACATTCGCATCGTCCACGTGGAAGGGGGCGAGGTGAGCGGGACGATCGACGACAGCATCAGGCATACCATCTCCAAGTTGGCGCACTATCACGTTTGCTGTACGGAGCGTGCCCACAAGCGTCTGCTGGCGATGTGCGAGGATAACGATAGGATACTGCTAGCAGGATGTCCATCGTATGACAAGTTACTAAGCACAGATGTGGTAGACTGTCAGGTAATTTTTTCAAGTATGTGTTATTGAAGAGAAATCATGATGATGAAATGTTACCCACTTCAAAACCACAGTTGGGACATTCTAAACTTTGTTAGCCTGTGCTTTTCCAAAACTATATATTCAAAGCTTTGTTTTGAAAAATCACTTTTCTTTAAGAGAACCCCTGAAATCGCTTGATATGTTAACCATAAATCACAATCTGTTCATATGTTTTGTCTGTGTCCAAGCAGCTGATACAATGTAAATGTCAATGTCCCAGATTGTAAAGACACTGAGACAAATGCTTGACATTTGCTGATGAAAGTTTATCGTTATTCATTTATGCACCAACAGTGCATCCCAGGATAAACAGGTAGAAGTGTTCCTTTCTGAGAGGGGGGGGGGGGGGGGGTTTGCGTAGCCCTTCCATCACTGTTGGAAGTGGTTATTCTAAAATGAACAAAGTGGGACCTTCCTATCTCAACTAAAAATTGGGAACATTTGGGTCATTTTTTGACAATGGCTAATTTTGTACTTGTTCTAAGATAAGGAAGTCATAGAAAATGAAGTGACCATAAACTAGGCAGGTATTACAAAATACGACTGATGTCTTGGACTTTAGTCAACCATTGATCTGACAGATTATTATCTCATTATGTTATGTTTTTTGTTTGGATGTATGATATGTATGTATGTTTATTCTGTATTTGTAAACATGACTATTCTGTATTTTTAATGATGAGTGTAAATAAATGACCTTGAACTTGAATTTGAGTCAAATCCTCATCTCTTCTTTTTTTTATTTTTTTACAGCACATACTAAACAGATGGCTAAAGGGGGAGGGCAAGTCTAAGGAGTACATTGTTGCCCTACAACATCCTGTGACTACAAATATAGCAGACTCTCTCAAGATGTACAGCCTTATGGTAGACGCCCTGATGGAATTCAACAAGCGTGTCATCATGTTGTTTCCTAACATTGACGCGGGTGAGCTTGACACCTGTGTTTGTCCTTTTACCAAGAGCTCAAATATTGATATGTATGAATCGATAATCGGCCATCTGTTTTTATTGCGTAGATTGGAGAATCAACAAGCCCTTTTGGCACTTCATTGGAATATACTGATTTTTTTTTTAGTTTCATTTATTTTATTTTTTGCATAGTGGTTTTAAATTTTAAAAAGAGCCCCCGTGAGCCTTCTCATGGGAGTAATGCCGGGGGCTCTTTTTAAAATAAAAATTTCCATTGAATTTGTTCGGCCGCACTGCTTCCATTGTTTATGTCGGTAATACTCATAGAGATGTAGAGACGGGCTATATAGCGCCATCTTGTGGCAAATAAGCGTACATTTGTTTACAATATGGCAGCTCCAGACACCGGCAAATTTGAGCGAGAAATCCTATACGCTCATTTTACTTCCATAAATCCATTTCATTAATTAAGGTTGAAACTCAATATTGTGTATTAAATCCGACGGAGGCGATTTTGTAGCTTACGGGGGCGATTGCCCGTCGCCCCGTGTATTTTTAGCCTTAGGTTCATGTTTGTCACCCTTTGCCAGCTGTCCTAAGGGACAAGTCCTTACAGTAGCCTGTGCAGCGACTAACAACCTCTGGAAAAGCATTATGATTAATTGCTCATTATTTTTCTCCTCTCCCTTTTGTCCTATCTCTTTTGTCCTATCTCCTGCAGGAAGCAAAGACATTGTCCGCATCATGCGTCAGAAGGGCGTGGAAACCAACCCCATGTTCTACCCTGTGAAGCATATACCCTTTGAAGAGTTCATCATCTTGGTGGCCAATGCAGGCTGTATGATAGGCAACAGCAGTGCAGGGGTCAGGGAAGCAGGAGCATTCGGTACACCGGTAGTCAACCTTGGGTCGAGGCAGACAGGGAGAGAGACGGGTAAGTAAGACTTAAGGAGTGTTTCACAAAGACTAAGATCAACTTTAAGTTGGGCCTAACTTTGGCCGGCCGTTCATGCCACTGTTTTTTCTCACCATTTACTGGCATTGGTATCTCAAGGGACGTACAAATCATGGTCACAAATCTACAGAATTTATAGTTTTTGATAGTTCATAATGGAAGGAAATAATATCTAAAGATCATGATGGTGAGGGCAAACAGTGACATGAACAGCCTATCATAGTTAAGTCCAACTTTAAGTCGATCTTTGTCTTTGTGAAACACCCCCCTAGCATATAAGAGAGATACTTGTTATATATTACTTTAGGACAGGACAGTGTACTATAAAGAGTTGCGATCGATCTGGATTTGATCGCAAGCCTCACAATCAATACAAACTCACATGTACATGTAGTACAGAATTGTCATTGATACCCAGTTCAGTCAATTTAAACAAGCGAAACTGTGAATGAAATGGGGCCCTGGACTACACTAGTTAGATTTAGAAATCCTCTCACCTTTACAGAAAGACTTCTCAAAGTGTTGAGAACAGATGTCTTTATGTAAGTAGATAATTTTTTCCATACAGGTATACCCTCAGGCAGGGTTAGACACTAACGGGCCCTCGGAACACAACACATGGGTGCCCTAAATCCAAGACTCGACCCCCAAATTTCAAACTTTAACAACGGGCTCATGCATCACAATTTTAATCTGGAACATTGCATCCAAAAAGTGTGCAGCCGTGCAGGGATGGTTACTGAAACCTGCTTTAGTGACCACCTGTCTAAAAAGACCACCTGCCTACATGGACCACATTTTTTGTTTCCCTTGAAAATGGTTTCTCATTGAAACATGTACTAAAGGAACCTGTCTACAAAGACCACTTTTTGTGTTTTCCTTGGGCGGTCGCTGTAAACAGGTTTGAATAAAATGTAAAGATGACTTTATATACACTTTAATAACATGTCTTTATTTTCTTTCAGGTGAAAATGTCTTACACTGCAGGGATGCAGACACGACGCAGAAGATCCATCATGCTCTAGAAATCCAATACCAAAGACAATTCCCTCCGTAAGTTGGTTTGATCAATCCCGCTACATTAGAAATTACTCGTAAAAGCATTCTTGTGTGTGTTCTAGTTCAGATAGCTAGGGTAGCATGTAGCATGGTCCAGTATTTGAAGAGGGGCTCATGTCTGGGAGGGCAGGGGGGGGGGGGAGGACATTAGCCTTTTTCTATTAAAATGAAATGGAAGAGAATAAACCTATCGGGGGGGGGGAAGTAGTAGGAAGGGTTCGTTTAGTCTACACATCCCTTTCTCCCTCTCTCTCTCTCTCTCTCTCTCTCTCTCTCTCCATCTCTCTCTTCGCCATTTCTGAGTAGGGGTACACATAGCCCTCTGTTCCACTAGTTATATATAATTATTGATATTACTATTGATAGGTAGCTTGTCCGTAGTCTAGGGAGTATGATCGTTAGCAACGGATGGTAATAATGATAATTGCCTAGTTACCCCAAATCTGTATTCATTACAATTTCTCATTTCTTTTCATTTAACATATGATGAATCACCATGAATTATTAACTTCTTGCGTGGCAGGAATATCAATTTTTCTGCAGTTGCTTGATGTGAAATTTGTCACTGTTTAGTTTCTAGGCTACTTTGTGATTTTTCCTCCAGAATTTATTCTATAATCCATACATGCCCCAAACACCAATATGTGGGTCCCATTGTGCAAATAGCCAATTACGTGCATGTTCTAATAAAAATCCATATCACCTGTGTGCTAATCGTGTACTCTTTGAAAGTAGCCTGGTACTCTTATTGATTGGCGCATGTCACATCTTGAGTTCTTGGTAAATAAAAAAAAAACGTTTAATTTCAGAATCAAACAATTCTTCTGCTTGGTGTTCATGACATGAACTTAATGATTTCTACCATATAATTTTTGTAAAAAATTTATAATAGCTGAGTCGTATTGAAGTAAAGAAAGCAACAGAAATTCAGGTCAAATGAACATATTGGAAGCATATGCGATCCTACACTAGTCAATGATTGTTTTTGCGGTTGAAATCAAGTCTACAGTTATGAAATTATGAATAATAAACTCTTAATGACATATAGCTCCCTCTCAAGATCGATATTACAGTACTTTAGCTTCAAAACATTGTTTCTTGACTAACGTGGACCGATTTTCGATTCCCGTTTTGAAATTATATATCAGAATTGTATATTCCGAGATTTTCATGGTCTCAGGTACCACTGTATGTCCGTAGGCGCTATTTGAATTTATCTGGAGCACCAATAAATTTGATATTTTAATTTATGGAAGTCTAGCGTTTTAGAGCCCAAATTTCACTAGGTTTCGCAATTTGGTAATGCAAATTGTAAATTTCATAATCCAATCCTGTTGAAGTATTACCAAAACTTTGTTTTACCTTTAAAGGCATCGTTTAACATTGTTTAATCTTAGATGCATGGCCCTACGTGTTATCACTGTCTGTGATATTGGGTAATATTGAAGCCCTAAAAAAATTGCGCGTGAAAATGATCATGAAGTGCCTCAAAAAAGTAAAAATCTTTGAGTGACCGGTTTTACCATACTCATTTTTTCCAATAGACTGTAGTGTTATGAAAACCATTAGAAAAACACAAAATTTGATTTCGATTTCCAATCATAAATATCTTGATTATCAGACAGGCGATCAGCTTTTACAAGTCTTGGGGTTTTCTGACTGAAAGGTTTATAATTATCATTGCAGCATGAGCTAAATCCAGGTTTTTTTTTTCAGAAACTGAGACAATGTTACCAAGTCCCTTTAAGGATTATTAATGTTTTATTTTCATTTTTTTTTTATCAGATCTTACATCTACGGTGACGGGCATGCGGTACCAAGAATCATCAAGTTTCTGAAATCGATCAAACAGGAGGACACCATCCAGAAGCAGTTCATCTTCCCTCCCATGCCGGAGAGCCCCAGCATTGACATTGATCACATCTTAGAGACGCAGAGCGCCCTGGCCGTCGACATGGGGGGAACGCAGCTCCGAGTTGCTTTGATAGCAGCCGATGTGAGTACGGATTTTTTTATGTTTGATGATACAGTCAACCTGCTTTAGTGACCACTTGTCTACAAAGACCACATTTTGTGTTTCCCTTGAAAATGGTTTCTCACTGAAACATGTACTAAAGGAACCTATCTACAAAGACCACTTTTTGTGTTTCCCTTGGATGGTCACTATAGACAAGGTTTGACTGTATTTGGAAAGAATTTAAATGCTAAATTACCATTTCTTTAAATAAAAGCAAAAAGCACCATAAGTCTTACTACTTATTAGAGTAAGATGGATATAATGAACCTCATGAATATACTTTATTTTCTATTGTTATAAACTGATGTACTGCTACCTATGATTTGGGTATTCTTTGGAATTGTCATTTGCTTACCTGATGATGCAAATTTTCTACAAAATCTAAGTTTGGATTGGTCTCTCTCAATCATATTTGTACAAAAAAGTTGCTAAAAGTTATAATATCCCCTTCTAGGTGAACCTTACTATAATACAACAAATTTAGAACCCCCCTCAACAACGTGAGATAATGACATGAAATTTTTGGATTTTTAACAAAAGATTCAAAATAAGTTTTAACCTCTGTGAATGAGCCATTGGTCATGATGTTACAACGAGATGTCACTTTTACCAACTTTTGTTTGGTCTTGTTTGTTTACAGGGTGAGATTAAGCTGAGGAGATCCAGGCCGACGCCCCACACCACCAATGAGGATAGAATGAAAGCGCTCCTTGAACTTCTCTTAGAAGCTACAAAGGAGAGCTACGCCCTTAACTGCAGAGTGCTGGGTGTAGGTAGGTTTTTGCTTTACTGTTTTTCTATTTGAAGATACCTTTGGTTGCCCTGATAACGATTGCTTCGGGCATAACATGTAGTTTGTGAAAGAGGGTTAGGATTAGGGTTAGGCTTAGGTTGAGGTTCATGGTTAGAGTTAGGGTCAGGGCTGGGTAAAGTGATTGGCCCGGAGCAATCGTCACTGACCATGTGCCATACAACCCACCTTTGACACAGAGTAAAATAGTGTGTTTCAAGAGAGACATTTTGAGAAAGTGGGGAGTTGCTGAGTATGATATCATAACTAGTGGCTGAAAAATTGAGGTACACAAGAATGTGTCAACGTGCTAACATTTTACATGCTTATGAAATTTAAGATTAGCTTTGAACAGAGACATACTGAAGCTCTTTTTGCTATGCACTCATCATAATAAAAGGCAAGAATGAAAATAAAACAGAAAGAAAGGAATAGGGATAGGAACTGAAGGGAATAAAACATGTGACCCCCCAAAACAAAAAAAACACAACAACAACAACAAGAATAAGAGACAAAGACTAGCATCCTTTTATCTGTAGCAGCTAATCATAACTCATTAATATTCTGCATTTTTATTCACACCCTGGTGGGAGGCATATTTTTGCATTCTTTGGGGGGAAAATATTTGTTAACTCCCAGGCACTTTGAGTTAATATTTCATTTTTGAAACTAAATACATGAATCTTTTTGTTTGTTTGTACAGGCATCAGTACTGGAGGGCGGGTCAATTCAAAGGAAGGACTCGTCATGCATTCAACAAAAGCTATTGCAGGTGAGATATAATTTGAATAACCTTAAAGGTCAAGTCCAGACCTTTTCTACATTCTGCACATGTATTGCCAAGCAAACCAATTTTTTTTTTCTTCTGGTTTTAACACTGTAAGGCTCGGAGATATTGTGTGGTAAACCGATGCATAAATGCTGTTTTTATGCCTCCGTTACGAAGTAGCCGGAGGCATTATGTTTTCAGGTTGTCCGTCCGTCCGTACGTCCGTACGTCCCGTTCTCGTGATCGCTTTATCTGAAGAACCGATTGATGGATTCCTGCCAAACTTTGTTCATGTATGTATCTTGCAGAGCCGATGAACTGATTAGATTTTGGGGTCACGAGGTCAAAGGTCAAAGGTCACAGGGCTCATTATGTATGCAAAAACAGCTCGTGATCGCGTTATCTCAAGAACCGATTGATGGATTCCTGCCAAACTTTGGTCATGTATGTATCTTGCAGAGCCGATGAAATGATCAGATTTTGGGGTCACGAGGTCAAAGGTCAAAGGTCACAGGGCTCATTATGTATGCAAAAACAGCTCGTGATCGCGTTATCTCAAGAACCAATTGATGGATTCCTGCCAAACTTAGGTCATGTATGTTACTTGCAGAGCCGATGAACTGATTAAGATTTTGGGGTCTTGGTCAAGGTCAAAGGTCATGCGGCTCATTATGTGTGCAAAAAATAGCTTGTGATCGCATTATCATTAGAACAGATTAATGGATTCCTGCCAAACTTAGATCATGTATGTATCTTGCAGAGCCAATGAACTGAGTAGATTCTTGGGTCATGAGGTCAAAGGTCAAATGTCATGGGCTCATTATGTATGCAAAAATAGCTTGTGAACGCATTCTCATTAGAACTGACAGATGGATTACTATTTAACTCGGGACATCTTGCAGAGCCAATGAACTGAGTACATTTTAGGGTCATGAGGTCAAAGATCAAAGGGTCATATATGTATATGAGAAATTGCTTTTTGGTTTGTAAACTTGCTCTATGACGGAGGCATCATTTTCGACTGCGCGCAGTCGAAGTTCCATCTAGTTTTTTTTTAAACTTGAAATTAAATGGCAATTGCGTGCAACAAAGGTCCTGCATATATGTATTCAGTGAGCTCTGTATTACAAGATATAGAAATGTGAAGGGTATTGTACTTTACGTCATCATTAAAAAAAAATTGCCACTGTTTTGACGCGTTATATCTGAACAAGGCTTTATAGCAGTCAGTTGTCTACATAAAGGAAGGGATGGAAATTCCGCTCCTCCATGCTGGCTGAGGGACCAAAAAAAGAAACTGTCCTTTTTAGGGTTAAAGAGAGTTTCCCAAAAGGGCTGTCCTCATCAGACAGAAGTTGCAAAATAACCAGCTGTATTAACTCGCCAATCTCAAATTAGCCAGCTAATTTGCATCTTCATCAGTTGCAGTTAGCAGGCTATGTGGTCAAGAAAATATCCCAAGAAATGTTTGTATTGTTTCCAAAATAGCCCGCTATTTGGGAAATAACGGGCTAATTTGCACCCGTCCGAGCTAGTTTGTGATGAGCGTATCGGTCTGGTGAAGATGCAAATTCAAGCTTCGGGAAAATATCCTGAGTCTGAAAATAGCGGGTTTTGTGCAACTTCGTTCTGATGAAGACAGGCCTATGGTGACACTGAAGCGGAATATATTATTTACAGACTTGCCGAACCGCTAACTAATTCTGATTATTTGTCTTGGTCTAAAGTGCATGTTTATTGTTCAAACCCATGTTTGCATAACTCCTCCCATTTCCTAGCTGTGAGTTTGTGTAAACATTGTTCATTTCATGCCCTTACGGATAGACCTGTGAATCACCCTGTACAATTGTAAATAAGTAAGCAGTTGAAAACAGAAAAACAAAACTCTGCATGTATGTTTTGCAAGTGGTTCAGATTCATGATCGTCACATGCCATGGAACTATTTTGGTTTGCAACTATACATTTTTGCAATTTGTGAAAATGTCCCCCCCCCCCCCCCCCCCCAAATGGTTGTCGTTAACTATACATCAAAGTTTTAGGTCACATAGTTTTTTGGTTTTACAGTAAATTTATCCACCCCTATTTTTTTTTTTTTTTACTTATGTGCAATTCTGGTACTTGATTTATTTTGTTTTCTCTCTTGAGTAAAAGAGAATTTTCAACATTTGACACTTCTATGCCCTAATATGTGTTTGTCTTTAAGCCTTCATGAGCGTAGTATGTTTATGTCCTTGCATCCAATTGGCAGGCAATATAATATGTTTTATATTTACACTCAATACGCCTACTGGTATTTAAGTCCATGGTAATGATTTAAACCATGATTTAGACATGGGTTGAAATAGAAAATAGTTCAATAAAACATCCACAACAGTTTCAGTCTCTAAGCCCTGACACCTTCCTCAGATGTTCACTGACAGACTGAAGCTAGCTGATAGTTTTCTGATCTCTAAAGAATGCCTATTTAGCTCTCAAAGCAACCTTCAGCAACGGCTTCCATAAAACCTCATTCGTGAATTTCAGACCTAGGCTAATCCTTTCAAGCTAACATGTGAATCTGTGAATTAAAGGGGTGCATTTATCAATAATTATCAACAACATTCAATGATCCCTAAGATTCCTTGGTACAACACTGTGCAATACTTGCAAGCATGTTGTCAACCTTTCTGATTATTATTTATTGTTTAGGTTGGGATGAAATCGACCTGAGGACACCCATAGAAACTACCCTTCACCTCCCTGTCTGGGTGGACAATGACGGCAACTGTGCTGCCCTCGGAGAGAGGAAATTTGGACATGGCAGAGGGGTCAAAGACTTCATCACCATAGCAACAGGCACAGGTGGGTACCAAGGTTATTTTATTTATTTATTTATTTATGTCTTCTGCAAAAAGCAGCGTAGGTCATTCAGTTAAAAAAACTGCTTTACAATGAAGTCCTGAAAGTGAGTAATAATATATATCTGTAAACCGCATTGAGAGGGCCTGCAGTCCTGAAATGCGCTATAAGGACAAACTATTATTATTATCATTATTAGTGAAAATGTCTTTTGAAAGATGCTGTTCCACAAGTTATTTGGAATTGTGTGATCTTGTCATATAATGAAATGGAAGATTTGTGGTTGGACTAGTGAAATATACAATGCTGATACAGTTTAGGATATCATGAACATGTAGTGAAATGAAAGTACAATGAAAGCTTTTAGTAAAAAATAAATGACAGTTTATCCCTTTGCTCCAATATCTTGCATCTAAAATTTACTATAATTGGTTTTAAAATATATATTTTTTTGTTCAGGTATTGGTGGAGGTATCGTGTTAGATAAGCGTCTCATCCACGGGACCAACTTCTGTGCCGCTGAGCTGGGCCATATCAAGGTATCTCTGGACGGCCCGGCCTGCCAGTGTGGAAGCCACGGGTGCGTGGAGGCCTACAGCTCAGGGATGGCCCTCAAGAGAGAAGCCATGAAGCTGCACGAAGGTGGGTCGCATCAAGTTGCTTCTTGCTGATAAAAGCTACATTTATACAGTCAAACCTGTCTATAGCAACCACCCAAGGAAAACACAAAAAGTGTTCTTTGTAGACAGGTGATCTTTGTAGACAGGTTCCTTTATTACATGTTTCAATGAGATACCATTTTCAAGGGAAACAAAAAGTGTGCTTGTTGTAGACAGGCGGTCACTAAAGCAGGTTTGACTGTACCAGAGGATGTGCAGGTGCCTACTAAGCACAGTGAAGCCTGTATATAAAGACCAGTCATGAGATACAAGAAATGCAGTCTTTATATGCAGGTGGTCTTTATAGGCAGTTTGTATCGGAAGGGTTTCAACAGAAAATAACTTTCAAGGCAAATTTTGTTTTACATCATGGTTAATTGCAAAATAGCAAGCTATTCCTAAGTTATCTTTGTGTTATTATAATAATAATAGTGGGTTCTTATATAGCGTTAATGTCTGTCAAGACATGGCTCTCCACAATTATCACCCTAGCTTAAGCATAGCAGCCACAATGGCGCTCTCGCATTTCAAGGAATGAATTCCTGCCTGGCACCCATTTACCTTACCTGGGTCGATTGTGACAAACAAAGATTAATGTCTTGCCAAAGGACATTAGTGCCACGGCGCGACTCGAACCGCAAACCATACAATCCACAGTCCGATTGCGCATCCACTAGACCATGACATCTATGGAGTTAAAAAATGGGGGTCCATGTGCACCAGGCACTTGTTAGTATGAAGTTCTGGATTAAGCGTATAAAATCTCAGCTGTATGAGTTCATTGGATAGGCATATAATGTTGTAATGCTCCCAAAGCAATGATACAAACAAAAATATTTTGAAAAAGTATGATTTTGTGTGAAAATTTATGGGAAATTTGTGTTGTACCAAAATCTAATTGTATCCAACTTGTTGCCAATTCTGCCTCTTTCCGATTGTAAATTATAGCGGGGGAGCTTCTCGTGGATGGCATGATTGTAGAGAAGGGTGAGGAAGTTACTGCTAAACATCTCGTACAAGCTGCAAAAACAGGAAACCAAAAGGCCAAGAAGATCTTAGATACAGGTAAGATAGAAGTATAATTATATACATATAGAATTTCCTAGGGTGGAAGGGAGAGGGGGAGCGAAGAAACCCCAAAATTTACTCAATTAAGAGGGGTACACTTTGTATTATGGATACTTTCCACCATTGATAATTGAGGATATTGTGTAGCTCACGTTGATGCACTTTCAAAAGCAATATAGATCGTTGTTTGTAAGATAGTCATTAATATTTGAATTTTAATTTCTCTTTTTTTGTCTTCTTCTCTTGTTAGGAATTTTTTTCAAATCATGTTTAGTTTTACTGTGTTGTAATGTTTGCATTGTACGATATCGCAGTTCAGCCATTTAGGTGGGATTACATTTTTTAATAAACCTTTGATTGAATTTAATTGATTTGAACACCATTCCATTTCCGTACCTTTGTTTTCCAGGTGCTCAAGCTCTCGGGACAGCCATCACATCCCTACTCCACGTCTTGAACCCCAAGCTGGTCATCCTGTGTGGTGTCCTGTCCAACGTCTACCTAGAGCCGGTCAGAGAAGCGGTCAAGACCCACAGTCTCCCGTCCGCGGTGTCCGAGGTGGAAATCGTCAGCTCGCAACTGGTAGAGCCAGCCCTGCTCGGAGCCGCAAGCCTGGTGTTGGAATACGCCACCAGGAGAACGTATTGATGTAAAAGAGCCTCCGACAAAAGGTGGTATTCTCGAAAGCAGACCAAGTTAAGTCCATGGTTTAATCCCCCGACTAAGTATGGAATGCCAAGTGTCCCTATGTTTATGTTTTTGAATAATTTAATCTGTCCCCAAATCAAAATAAAATGTAATAACTTGATGACTATAAACTATGATATAACTATGATATAATTATGTTATCATGGTAATATAGGGACATATCAAATTATTCAAAATTATATTCATATGAGCACTTGGCATTCCATAGTTAGTCGGTGGATTAAACCATGGACTCAAGTTAGTCCACTTTCAAGAATACCACCCTACACTTTCAGCTAGCACAAAGACTTACTGGCCAAAAATTAAACCATGGTCTATTAAAATCATGACGTGAACCTCCGCCGTGGAGTAAAAGAAATGTACTAAAGCGTATATAAAACTTTATATGATTGTATGTAATTTTTGTAATCAATATTCACGACTTGATGTGAGAAAAGTCTTCTTTTCGATTGGTGTAATTCGTACCTGCAACAGTTTGCAAGAGTGGATGGTATCAGCACCTTCAGTAAATTAAAGGATTAAGGTGAACTTTCTCGGTGAATGCGGGCTATTGTATGTTAGCACATAAATATGATTATTAGGGCCGTCATCATAATCTATGTTGATGGTAGAATAGTGCAGCTATGTTGACTTGGATTCCCTCTGTTGAGCGAACACCATTTTAGCAGTTCTTTTATGATAAAACCAATATGAAATTCCACATAGAAAATGTACTTTGCACCATATTTAGCAACAAATCATAACATAGTTGTTAAGTTTGTATTTTCAGATCCATTTTTCGTAGGAAACTGCATTCTAATTAGGAGAGTAGGATGTTTGAACATGCACTTTTTTCCTTGCACCACAACTGTAATGTCAACCAAAATACATGGTCACTTGTCGCGTGTCTCGTATTTTATGACTCATTTCTTCCAACACTGCCTTGCATTAGCTTTTTCTTGACGCATTCACAGTAACAATGGATGTATTGTCTTTGTATTGTTTTTCAAAGTTATCTCTAAGCACATGCTTGGATGATGGGGATTTTATGTGGTGAATATGCTGGAAAAAATGGAATTTTAAAAAACATTTTCATTTCATAGCTTGGATGAAAATCTGTAAGGTATATATCCTTATCTTCAGTTTTTGAAATTTTCAGACAATCTTTCTCTCTGATTTTTAAATTCTTTTTAATTCATGCACAAATTTGAAATGTCAATTTAACCCCCCCCCCCCAGTTGAATCTATGTTATCGAGAATGATGTTAATTCATTGCACATACATGACAAGGGCTTGCTTATCCTGCAAAGTTGTTACCTGTGGTGCTATCCAGCTGCTATTCGCACACAGATAAACCCTGCCATCATGCATGAAGTTGCTTAAAAACAAAGATACCCGGCCCCCTAATGTAGCAATGATTCCTAAAGTTAGAATTTACTTATAATGTGTTTTTTAATGTGCTTTCTTAACAGACTTTGCTGAGTTCCTATAAGGTACCATGAAGCAAAACTGTCCATTTTGAAATTAATCTGTTTTACTTTTATATAATTGTTTATATAATTATATCATTTTTACATTTTTCATTATTGCAAATATGTTTTGATTGAATGCAATATGAAAAAAAAAAAAGATAATGAGTACTAGTGAGAACAAAATTTTATTTGAAAATGTATAAGTGATTGTAAACCCCTTCCTCAGATGTATTCATCAATTTGAGGGAAAAAAGGAAAGGGAATTGAGAAGCTTTTGAATGCCAAATGTTTAAAGGGAAAAATATATCTTCTCTTATCCTTACTAGTAGACAAGGATTTGCTCTTTAATATTAAAGAAACATTTAACATTCTGTTTTCTAATGTTAAAAATAGGTTAAATTTTATTAAGCACATAGTCATTGTCTTGTACTTGATTATAAGAATAATGAAAGGAATTAATTTGCCAAATATTGCCACCATGAACGAATGCAGTTATCGCATACTACATGACAATATTATGGATGACATAATTGTACGATTGTATTCTCCTTATTTTAGGATTGATTGGGATTAGGATGGTTGATCGACAAACGTTCCTGCGCTGATTGCTTAAGTCAGTAGACCTGTTTACTAATGTACATTATACCTGACATTAAGTCTAACCCTAAACCTAATCCTAACCTAAAACCCTACTGCAACCGTAGCTCTAACCAGGTCTTTACACTAACGTTTTGGAAGGGGTCTGTAATCAACTTTTCCAAGTTGACATACACCCTATGTGAAAATTGTGATTTTTTTTGTTGTTGTTGATTTTTAAAAAATGTATTTATTTATTTATTAATTAATTATTATTATTTTTATTTTATTATTTTTTGAGGAGGGTTCCGAATTTAATTTTGCGCCCCCGTGTACCCCGAGCGCCATTTGGGGTCAAGCCCTGCACATACCAGTATTGAAGTAAAGCCCAAAGCAATTTTCCTTGCCAGAGCATTCCTCGGATCACCACCAGGGCCAAATGACAATCCTAAATTTATATCATGAAAAAGAAATTGATATTTAGAGCTAATAAGCAAAGTAGATGTACTTGTATGAACCATTTGATTAAGTTTATTGTAGTGATAAGTACATGCATGTAGGTAATACTTTTTGTTGAATAATTACTGACTCGTGCAGTATTTTCAATGCTGTGTAAACAATTCGCCATCTCACGCTGAATTACCACCACCCGATACATCATTATCTTTGCTTCATATGTTTTCTCATTCAATCATTCCCTACCTCTCAAGTGGTTGATTCGGTGTAATGAGTATGGCCTAATCCAATGTTATTTGGAAACTTAACAAACTTTCTCGTTTTATTTTTGTTTACCTTGAAATGAATGGCCATTTGACAAATTATAAGCTAGTAATTTATTAGTGTAGTAATTAGCATGAAGTTAGAAGTTACAGTCTGCACATGAGCATATGCATGTTCCCTCCTTTTGAAAACGCCCCCCTAAGTCCGATGTGTAAAGTCAATACGGGCTGGATTTTTGTGTACTACGAGCCGGACTTTGGTGCCTGAAAAGTACCTCTTTACCGGACATTTTGGTAACATGCATGGTATCTTTACATTCACGGAGTGGAGGGGGGGGGGGGGGGGGGGGGGGGGGGGGGGGGGGGGCCGGGCTCAGGAGGAGGTAAAATCATTAAAAAGCATTGTGAAATCCACCGAAACATATACAGGTACTGGATACGTATTATTGGAAGTTTATAGTTTCTCATGTCATTCAATGAAAGCCAGGTGGCAATGTCCTTTTGAAAAAAGAAAGGGGAAAAAACAACTTATAGAGCAACTCTATTACTTAGGGAGGAATTATTTGAAAATGCACTGGGGCACGCGGTTTAATAAACTTAAAGGTATTTGGTTGTTTACTAGGTAATTTCTGCTATGTGCCAAATATGAACTGGTCTATTGTAATCTTTTGCTTTAATTTTCAGTGCGACAAGAAGAAAATGAAATTTGGTGCGACATAATCAGCCCCTTTCCTAGGAAAAAAATACTGAATATACTTGATTTGACATTGTGGGGTGTGTGTATTTTCTTTTTCATGTCTATTATGATTTTGACTCGGAAATGTTTTCTAGTTAGTGATCTTCGATTTCACCACATACGTCGATGCTCAATTAACTCTTTGACCATGCTGAAATTTTATACGAAAATCATTTGATTAAGTTTCACAACTTTTTCTAGCTAATGCTGCACTCAAATTGTACTCCATGTAGATACCGGCATGTACCTGTTAAAAAATAAACTGCTAGAGAAATGTTAAATTATTTACAGTATAAGTTTTTCTGTCAAAAGCATTCCATGTTTGCCTACTTTTGCATATCTATTGAAGGCATCTTTTCCCTTCATTTTTCCATAGGATACTGTCTTTAAACTTTTGCTTATTTATGATGTGTATTCTTGTAGATGTTGAAATTGTATTAAAGAAATACAAAACAAATTTACCAAAGTGTTTATGTCTGTTTGTGAGAGATATCTGTTTGTATATACAGGTATCAAGCGTGTTTTGCACGAACATTGTTAATTTGAGAGTAGGATAAAATGAAACAGTGCATGTAGATACATTTAGCATAACCATCTTATGATTAATAGAGTATGACACAGTCAATAGCATACAGGAACTGAATTAAATCCAGCACTTGACCCAACACTATGCCCGTTTTAAATATCTCACTTACACCACCAAACCGACTTCAAACCGATTGATTGTTGGTCAGTAGGGGCAATGAGAGATTTTTAATTTTTTTTAGGGGGGGGGGGGGTCTTGTTGATGTGACTGGGGTATTTACCCTACGACTAACCTAGAACCCAATATCCATCCTAACTAATGTTATTTCTTTGATGAAAAAAAAAATAATTGAAGCACTTGTTGCTGAAGAGAAGATGTGTGATCACTGATCCATCTTGTGCTGACCCGTTTACTAACTTATTCAAATTTACAGATGTTTCTTTCCTGGGAACCTAGTGACGATTAATTACCTGTCATTAACGAATGAACTACAATTCTTGGAATCCAGCCTGCATACACATTACTAGTTGCTATGTCTGGAAGACTCGGGCACTGCCTTTGTTTCTGATGTATAAATTTCTTTTTAATACATTCACAAATTTGAAATTTAAATGTCCCCCCCCCCCCCCCCCCCAGTTGAATGATGCCATTAAATTGTCTTATTTGTGTTAGAGTTAGATTAGGTTACGGTAAATTCAGTGTAGGCATAGGTTTGGAACCACAGGTAAAGTTATGAATTCAGTTACAAAATGAATATAAAGCATTTGTCACGTACCAGAGCATGTATCATACATTGCAGTCACAAAAAGGTAACTCTTGGGGAAAACAATGATCAGACACAAAAGAAGACAAATTTTGTAAATTACATTTTATTACCAAATACAAGTATCTATAAACTCTATTCTAGATTTACAAAATATACAAAATATACATAGACTATGCACTGATCAGGGCCCTGTTTTATAGAACTTGCTATCAATGACAAATTGCAATAATTGTTATAAGCTACTGGAAATGTTGCATTTGATTGGGTGAGAGCAAATTTGTTAATGTTATAGAAATGTGATATTTTTTTATTGATAACAAGTTCCATGAAACAGAGCCCTTACAATAAAATTCACTCAGCAATGCTAATAAAGGGTAATATACCGTAACACATTGAATGATACAAAACCTATATGTAACTGTTGAGATATGGTGAGTTAGAATGTGCAACCTGAAATAAACTTTTACAAATATTTAGGAGCGTTTGGAAGTGGAGAGTGACAGCTATGAACTGCAACTACATGATGTCATGTTGGAACCTTCTTTTACCGGGGCTCAAAGATGACAGAATACAAAGAATTCAGATCAGAGGATAACCCTTGTCATGTCAAAAGTTATTCAAACATCTGAATTTTATCAGGAAAAGTGGTAATTGTTTTTTTTTTAAATCAAATTCTGCAAGAAATGCAGGAACCTCCTGTGATAGTCTACCGGTAGTTGCAAAAGACCACATACTTTCAACTAAAGGAAGCCACGGTACATGTATCTGCACACCTTCTTAAATATAATAGGACCATCTAAAGGGCTCCACACTAACTTTTGGGAAGGGGTCCAGATTGATTACTATTTTCAGTCTGGATAAGTCCGATATTAATCCTTAAGTTCTGTTTGGGGGAGGGTACAGACTTAAAATTTGGGCGCTCTTGTGCATTGGCCATCTGGGTAATGTCACCTCAAAAAGCTGTTCCCCGAGTTCTTCTACACCTCTGCCTGGTTGTTAGGTTAAGATTGACGAATGCCTCCTGCTGCGGCATGCTATTTCTGTAGCCCTTTTGACTACTGTTTTCCCCTGGACTAAATTCAGGCATCATACGCTTTCATGAGCGAGCAGGTAGGGGTAAATATGAGAAGATCCTTCATGTGATGTCATCTCAAAGAGCTGTTCCTCTGAGTTTCCCCCCCCCTGCTTGGTTGGAATGGTTGCTAGGTTACGATTGATGAAGGCCACCTGCTGCGGCATGCTATTTCTGTAGCCAGTTAGACCACTGTATTCCCCTGGACTAAATTCAGGCATCATACGCTTTCATGAGCGAGCAGATAGGGGGTAAAAATGAGAAGATCCTTCATGTGATGTCATCTCAAAGAGCTGTTCCTCTGAGTTCTACCCCTCCCCTGGCCCTGCTTGGTTGCTAGGTTACGACTGATGTAAGCCTCCTGCTCCATCTGTATATTGACCTCCTCCAGGTGGCGCTGATGATTCTCTTTCTGGCTGGCCAGGCGTTTCTTGAGTTCCGAGATCTTGGAGTCTTTGAAGGCCAGTATCTCCTCTTGCTTCTCCTTCTCTGCTTTGATAGCTGTGCTTGCAAAAATTGAATTAAAAAAAAAATAAACAGAAATAACAGGAAATAGTCTATATTCCAAATGCATGTACATTTATATTACAGAAATGAAGGGTAAACATTTCTCACATTTTCAGGATAGTTCCCTCTAAAAAAAAATTAACATCATAAGATCCATTTCACGCAACACGATGATCTGTCTAAAATAAATGCAGCAGCAAACGAAATAACAAAACAGTTTACAACTTTACATGTTAATGAAAGATTAATTGCGATTGGGGTTTAAGAAGAACAAAAACAAACACAAAAACATAGCTCTGCACAACAACACCCTATGCATGCCCCTGTGATCTGTGGGCTATCATGAACAGATTTATAATGTGCACTATCCTTATGTACAGTATAATTTTATTTTACTTCTGTGTCTTCTTTTATGCAAATTACAGCATCATGTCTGAGAGTGGATCAAGGGCACATCTCTGCAACAGTAGTTTACTACACCCCAAGAAGGCAGGGCTTGTAGTATTAATCCTTCAAATACTGGGTATCTATTTTGTTTTTGTTTACTCACTTGTGCATTTTGTTTCCAGCTGTTGACTCTTTGATGACTCCTTCTTCACCCTCTCACTGATCCTCCCAAACCTGGAGAAAAGATGAAAATATGATACCATTGCTGAAATAAAGCTTAAAGAAGAAGAAGAAGAAGAAGAAGATGGGAAAATACAACGAAAACCCTCCAACATTTTATGGGTAAACAGCTAAGTTTGAAAGAAATAATGGATACAATAAAAACCTTGTGTACAGAATCAATCTTTTTTTTTAAAACATTGGTTAGCAGATCTATAAATATAGGTTCAAGTATGGTTCAATTCTGTGAAATCTAATTTTTCCATCGTGCCAACAACTCGATCAACTCTACGTTTGTGATATAATATACACTTTGTACTATTATCATTATCAATTTATTACAACATTTTTACCGTCATCATGACTATCATTATTATTGGTACAAACTGATGTGTGCATGTATATAAGGTTGAATAAGAAATTGAAAGGGTGAACTTACGATGATTCAAAGAGCTTCTTTTCTCTGGTGAGCTGAGTGGTGAGGATCTCTATCTCCCCCAGAGCATACTGAAGTTTGTCCAAATGGCTTTCTAGCAGGGCCTTCGTCTTTTCATGCTCTCTCCTTTCATCCTACATGAATTTGAGGGAGAGGGAAACATAGGAATGAGTGACAAGGGCAGGAGAAAGAGAGAAAGAGAGCGTAGAAACAGAGAGGGGAAGAGGAGAGGAGAGGAAGAGAAAGAGAGAGGGGAGGGGAGAGGAGAGGAAGAAGAAGAGGAAGAGAAAGAGAGAGGGGAGAGGAGAGAAAGAGAGAGAGAGAGAGACAAACAAATAGGAAGAAAGAGAGGGAGAGAAATCGATACGATAGGAAGAAAGATAGAAAATCAATTTAAATTTTAAAACCTGTATTGGATATAGGAATGAAAAAGAGTTTACAATATATCCATGAATTAACATTGGCACTGTCATCATGGGGGGGGGGGGGGGGGGGGGCTGGTTTTACCTAGCAGATGAAATATGAGTTCAAAAGGTCACAGATTATGGGATTAAGGTGTGATACTCATAGTATCTCATTGTCATGTTCCATTTCTATTTATACATATATTCTATATCCCGTTTTCTTCTCTCAATTATTCTTTTATTTTTCTTTCATTATCAATCATTTCCATTTGATTGCGCGGGGCATTCTCCCCATAGTGCCCCACTTGCTTTGCAACTGGACTCTCTCATCTTAGTTCTTACATCTTACCTCAAGTTCTTGTCGAAGTCTATCAACTTCCGACTGTTCAATAAATGAGCTCCTCATTGTCTGCACCTATAAACAATGATAAATAGAACATGAAATAGAAAATGAAACACAAGTTAGAACATAGACTAAATGGAACATGAAGTTGAAACATTTAACATACATTTCAGGGAGATGTTACTTGTCACTGTGACTGTTGTGAGTTGGTCAACTTCTTTGCCTTCGCCTTCGACTAGGCCTGACAGGAATAACCATCTGATTTGGGTCATTTCTTTAATAAAACTGACATTTGTTGTCATTCCCCAATACAGATGGCAACCCAGAGATCTCGTACCGTGGGGATGGCTATGTTACTATATGTACATATTTTCGTCCACGACATTTTCTCCCCGATTTTCTTTATTTAGATCTAATTTCCTGATTTCTAAATCAGATGTAAATTAGGTCGGTATGTCATTTGTCCTAATTACAGTTATCAAAATTTGATAACTCAATATTAAATGGATAATTTACGGACATATGAATTATCCAATTTGTATCTCCGAACGTTCATGCACTCGGAACATAGGGCTATATGACCCGGCGGCCAAAATATTTCCGGGTCAACCTACCAAAACATAGCCAAATGGCCAATCAGAGCACTCGTTTCGTGGGAGTTCGTTGGTCAAGCTGGGCTTACTTGTACGTAGCTATGGTAGCTATTGGACGTTCGAAAAGAAAAATGAATATTCATCAACTAACACCAAGACGGATAATGTTGACGACGAGACTTTCTCGGATTAATCATTAATTTAGGATCTAAATGAGCAAGCTATCGTAAGTCAAATAAGCTATAGACCTATAGGATCTATATGTTATTTTTAATTTGTGTTATAATTGCAGCAGTTATGAGGATGTAAAGAGTGAAAATCTCGTTGCATATCTCATTCATCGCGGTCCGGTCGAACCGAACCATTTGTTCCGTACAGTGCCTCACAGAAAGAGGTCCCCAGACTTCAGTCTCTGTAATCGGAGGTCTAGTGGAGCCAGACGTAGTCTCAGTGGAACAACCGACGATTAGCAGTAGGGGCGCTGGTCCAAGAATGAGGATCGTCCTCATAAACAAGGATATCCTCATAAACGAGGACAAAATGCGTCCTCAAAAATAAGGGTCGTCTGCATTTTTGAGGACGTTTTTTTTCATCGGCGCTCTGGGGGTTTCATGTTACAGAACGGCCTGCTGGCGATGCCAAAAACGGATTCCCCGGGGGAAAATAACCCTAGTTCACCGTCTACTTTTATGGGTAGTCCGTCTTCCCAAGGATTTATTGCTGATAATGTGAAGTCTCTGTACAAGGGTGTCTGATCGCGCACCCGATGTTGTGTGCTAAAATCTTTCCCATAGAGATTGCACACATCCCTATGTGGTCTACATGCATTGCGCGACCAAGCAAAATTGGTCAATGATTTTATGAAAAATTTGAAATTCAAACCTTTATAACAAATGATCCTGAAGGTGAAACTCAATAAATGTGGTGTCATATGAAAGAGCAGGTTTTTCTCCATATTCCCCATAGGGGGCCACCCCCGGAATTCTAAATATATCTTGCTCAAAACAGCGATTTAAACATCGTTTCCATGGTAACTCGGAGATTTACCAATTTCACGAACTGCCCCCCCGAGGGATAAGTTGGGCCAGCTGTAAAGAATATATCCATGCACTTATTTTTTCTCTAGTCCCAAGGGATCATTTGTTACAACAGTTTGAAAATACCCTTGCTCCACGCTTTGCATATCGTGCTGTGCATTAGCTGTGCAGCTTTTGAGCAGAAATTATAACTCTGCGTGAACCACTTTTCTGTCCATTCTGACCAAAATGCTATGAATATTGCACAGTTTTTGAGGGGCTGTATCTTTTGATAGAAACATCGGTGAGTCTTGAAATTCGAAAGGTATTATTCTGATTACATTTTTTACTCCAATATCCAACAAAAATGGTGAAAAACGATCCCAAATTGAAAATTGAAAAATCGTTCAGACACCCTACTAGTACAATGTCAATGTAAAATGCATCAAGAAAATCATTGCAGAATCCGTTTTTTGCATCGCCAATGCGCCAAATTAAAATTTGAAACGTCTGCAAAAATGCAGACGGTCCTTATTTTTGAGGACGCATGGGTCCGTTTTTAGGAAGACGATCCTCGTTTATGAAGACGATCCTTATTCTCGGACCAGCGCCCCTACTGATTAGAGAGACTGAAGCTTTCGGTCTAAGCTGAACCGTGTTCATGCCCCTTCCGCACTGGGCCCGTGCCGGCGTGCTTATCTGCGTGAGCCTGTTGCTTCATCCGTGTTCTGTACAGCTCCATTCATGCACTCACTCATTTTTAAAAGTTTCATTAATTCAACTTACCTCGGAACAAAGGCTGTCCATAAATTTCTTCTGTGTAATCACAACATCCTGCAACTGGTTGAAAACAATAGAGAGAGTTGTATCTTCTAAACTTTCGGTCATAATTCTTACAGGAGAATCTCAATTTTTGTTTTTCCCGGATTTCATTTTCATTACCATATTTCGACAACAGATGGCGCCTTATCAAATAAAGATTAAAACATGTCTGCGCCCATACACGCCCATGATGACATGTTGAGAACTCAATGCTCCATTTCTTGTAAATAAGTATAACTATAAAGAATTATTTAACTTTAGCCAGACAGTTCCGGCACAGTTCCTTAGCTTAGAAGCTGGTGTAAGAAGAAATAAACAAATAGTCAACAAACCAAATGGACGGCAAGTTGCAGCCCATCTCCACACTGTCTGGTCATCAAGACCGAGTTTGGTGCGTCTCGTGGAATCCGACCGGGACACTTCTGGCGAGCTGTGGCGGCGACAAGACGGTCAGAATATGGGGCAAAGAAGGTAAGCATGCATGTTTAATGTCCGTAATCTTGCCTGTTGCATTTTATCCAGATTATTGCTGTGTGAAACTGTGAATCATTAATGTCAATGACATAGGGCCTAATAATTTTGCACATGAGTTTTTGCGTTAACATTTACCATTTTCCCCCTTCATTTTGTTCTTCTTAGTAAAGTAGCCCGTTTTCGGCCACTTAAGACAAAATCCTATTTTTAGGACTCTTTACTTCCTATTTATTATCATTTCTTGTTCAAATCATGAAGCAAATATTATTATTCTTTACACAAAAAAAGAATCCCAGAAAAAAATCACGAATTGCCATGACAATATCCATTTCAATTTTCACTGTTTTGGAGCCCGTTATCGGCCGAGCGTTTCAGTTTACGGCCGCATGTACAAAGTCAATAGGAAGCGCTCGCGCGCGCCGTGCGTTTCCGCGCTGATGTACAGCACAAGCGGGCGGAGCAGGTATCCCACGCCGGAGCTCCCTGGTGCTCGCCTGGCCGAAGACGGGCACAGCGGTGATCGGAAGTTGGAATCTGAATTAGATAGAGATATCGTGTGTGCGTCGCGGTGTGCGGCTGCATTGATTTAATACATGCGATGACATACTTTTGAGCTTGCGACTAGCACAAAATCGGGCTTTAAATCTGAAAAATACTTGAAATAAAGCTCATTTTATGGTACCCATATTTCTTACAGACACGCGTAAGATACTCGATTTTTCAGATTTGGGTAGCGGGACCGGCGATTACATCGCTAAAATGTGATATTTTAGGATATATTTTCCATTGCAAATGTGGTTCTTCAGTGACACTGGCATGGTATGGTATGTGTGGGATATGTGTTATGCTATTATGCGATGTATTTTAGAGTGATTTTACCTTGTATCCAACCAATCGGCCGAAAACGGGAGCTGGCCGATTACGGGCTCCTTTACTACATAGAAAATCATAATCATATTTCCATTCTTTCAAGCATTTCAATGGGTAGTCAGAGAACTTGTAGTTAAGATGGTAGATTCATGAGTTCTAATGTAATGTATGCACTAAATAGCACTAACATGAATATTTTATCGTTCATCTAATATCTTTTAAAGTTATCAGTAGGGGCGCTGGTCCGAGAATAAGGATCGTCTTCATAAACGAAGATCGTCTTTGTAAACGCGGACCAATGCGTCCTCAAAAAACATAGATCGTCTGCAAAAAAGCAGATGTTCCATATTTTTGATCGGCACATTGGCGATGCAAAAAACGGATTACGGGATGATATTCTTGATGCATTTTACATTGACTTTGTACAGAGACCTTCACATTATGAGCAATAAATCCTTGGGAAGACGGACAACCCATAAAAGTAGACGGTCAACTAGGGTTATTTCCCCCTGGGGAATCCAAATTTGGCATTGCCAGCGGGCGGTTCGGTAACCCGAAACATGCGGAGCGCCGATGAAAAAAAACGATCCTTCTTTATTTTGACGCATTTTGTCCGCGTTCATGAGGATATCCTCATTCTCGGACCAGCGCCCCTACTGGTTATGGTCATGCGATTGCATTGTGAAAGAAACGTTGTGGAATCGGTTAGAAAAGGTTGATCATCTAGCATATAAGTATTGGTGTATACTGTGTACTGTAAGGTTCTTGAATCATCAAAATGATAAGAAATTTGGTCCAGTCTTCGTAAAGTTACAAGCACTGTACACAGAAAGATGAATATGGGTCTACGCACACGTGCGCGACACGTGCATTTATCTCTCACATACCAATAGATAAACTAATTTACCAAATATATCAATTAGTAGGCGGTTTCCCGGCAACTTTTTTATCATCATGTATTAGTCAAAACATATTCTTTCACATGATTGGTAATAAGAGCTTCCATTTCATTTTTTGAAATTGGGGCGTTTCCAATACTGGTCTTTACCTTGAAAGTAAGGCTTGCCAAAATTGTTATGGAATATGTATTAACTTCTTCAAATCACCGTTTTAAATCAATTGTCTTGATACACAACCTGTCGGATACTCAATGTCTGTGTAAACATATATATAGACTAGTAATAGTATAGGATCTATACATGTAGATCTACAAGACCATCTACACATTTACTATAAAGGCCACATTGATATTTTTTGTGTATAAAGACCACTTTTCTTCCTCCCCTTGGCCTTGAGAGGTTCTTCTACCAGGTATCGATCACATTCAAAATCCTGATGTATTCAACACTCATGTACAACAGCATTTCAATAGAATTATTTTATTCATTCATGTGCAAACCCGATCCGAATCATTTTAAACACCACCTGAAGTGTTGAGCAGTATTATTTTCAGATTCAGATTCAGATTCATATCAAGGGTTCATCTTTTTCAGGTGATGATTGGGTTTGCAAGAAGATCCTGCAGGACGGCCACACCAGGACCGTCCGACGAGTCGCCTGGTCACCCTGCGGTCAGCTGCTGGCCTCTGCGGGCTTCGATGCCCAGACCTGCATCTGGGATCGCAGGAGTGGAGAGTTTGAGTGCACCGCCACGTTGGAGGGCCACGAGAACGAGGTGAAGAGCGTGGCCTGGTCACAGTCTGGCTCCCTACTCGCGTCGTGCAGCAGGGATAAGAGCGTGTGGATATGGGAAGGTAATCATTTAGAGAAGTCTTTAAAGGCCATCTGTACTAGTTTGACCAGGGGGAATAGACCACCCAGTGTAGTCACTGACAGGTGGCTATCTCATCAACTCAGTTCTCAATTAACATAAGACAAAGAGGACCATGGGGGACCAACGGCCACTGCTTAGGCATTGTTTTCTATATAGAGGGAGCAAGTAGCTTCAAGTAGTACAGTGGGGCTTTATATAATTTAAAAAAAATGTTAAGTGTAATTAAGCCTAGAATTTTAGCCAGAATTTCAAAGTTAGGTGTCTGAATTGAAAAGTAGGTTGTAGAAAAAGACATTCAAGAAATGATTTGGAATAAAAGATTAAAGGGTGACTTCCACAAGAAATTTGCATCTGTTGGGTGCCTAGACACCATCCTGGCTATTAAAAAACCTTGTATAATCATATGATGTGTACAGGTAGATCCCGAACTTAGCAGGTACATTATTATTGTACATATAGTAGCAAGAAGGTGCAGAACGGTGGTTAATAGAGTTAAGAACAATTTTATTTTTTGGCCCCAGCACAAAAGGAGTGCAAAGCAGTTGTTTATCCTTTCTTGCTCGTGCAACCTCAAACTCCTACTTCGACAAAATCATCCCTTTTAAATCATGAAATTTCGCTATTGTAAAAATTTAGGAATTGCAGGTTTCAAAACAGTTTTCTGTTAAAGTGGCATGATGTATTTTGTTTATTTTGACAGTTGACCAAGAAGACGATGATTATCAATGTGCCAGTGTACTCAGCATTCACTCTCAAGACGTGAAGAACATTGCTTGGCAGCCTGGGCGCGAGGTAGGATATCCCAAAAGTTTAATTTTAAATTCTTTTACTCCTCCCCCATACATATCGATGACTTGAAGTTAGCAAAATGTGGTATCTTTAAGATATTTCTTTTTTAGAACAACATTGTGTTGAAAAAAGAAAAATGAAATTTAACCTAGCTATAGGATACAGTCTCATTTTGTTTGGTATTTTCACTGTGTAAATCATGTAGGAATAGAAAGGGACCTGTGAAATTATCTTTCGCAAATCATTTGCAATCCTTGAGGATGTGGAAATAATTATATAGTGTAGCATCTAAAGGTGATTTGTTTCAATTTTACTGCCATGTCTCTCTCTGTCTCCCCAATTTATATTTTTTCCTTCTTCTTCCTTCCCCTTGTCCCCTCTATCTTCTTCTCTCTGTCTCTATCTCTCCCTCTTTCTCTCCCTCTTTCTCTCCGTCTCTCTCCTCTCTCTATCTCTGTCTGTCTCTCATTCTATCTCTTCAATCCCTCTCCTTCTCTATTTATACTTTTCCATCTTTCTCTTTTCCTCTCTGTCTCATTCCCTCTCTGTCTTTCCCTCCATCTCTTTCCCTCTCTGTCCTTCCCTCTATCTCTTTATCTCTTTCTCTCTCTCTCTCTCTCTTTCATTCTCTGTCTATATCTTTTCTCCCCTGTCTGTCTCTTCTTGCTATCTTTTGTTTCCTTTCCTACTCTCTCTCCTTCCCCCTGTCTTTCCCTCTGCCCATCTCTCCATCCCTACTTGCCATCTCACAGATCCTGGCATCCTGTAGCTATGACAACACCATCCGCTTCTTCCACGAGGAAGACGATGACTGGAGCAGCTTCGCGACCCTTGAAGGTCACGAGTCCACGGTATGGGCCATCAGCTTCGATAAGACGGGGTCCAGACTTGCTTCCAGCAGCGACGACAAGACTGTCAAGATCTGGCAGGAGTACCAACCTGGAAACCCTGAAGGTACCCAAATGTACTCTTATATTTTATCTAGTATCCGGACACCTACCCCATGGACATCCACCCCCCGGAGAACCGGACAACTACCCCCGGACAACTACCCCCCCCCCCGACAACTACCCCCTACGACAACCATCCTCGAGGACAACTATCCCCCAGACAATTATCCTAGGGGGTAGTTGTCCGGGGGGGGGGGGGGGGGGTAGTTGACTGTTGACTGGGGGTGGGGGTGGATGTCCAAGGGGTAGGTGTTCTAGAACCATTTTATCATGCCAACAGTCTACTTGCCTCGTTTCGGTTTTTGGTCGACGACATATCACATAGACGTAGATAAGCAGAACTAGACTGAATCAGGAGCAACTTCTTCTTATTGTACACATTTAAATTTGTTAAAATATCAGTTACTTATGTAACTTATGAGATTTCTTGTGGACTTGTAACAAAAAATTAAATCAAATGAAATTGAAAAATAAAGAGACAACTATATTGTTTCTGTTTATTTTTAAAATGAATAGATGGTTCAAAATTTTCACAAAAAATCTGCAATCACAGGCTGTTTCTCCCTCTTTCTTGCATTATACTTTTTATCATGCTGTTTTCTTTTTTCTTGTAAGCTCCTGTAAATATATATAATGCTTGCTGTATCTTACCAGGATAATAGTGATACCACATATATATATCTGTTTATACAAATCATCTGAAAAAAACAATTTGTGTATAGCTAGAATGGATAAAAATTAACCCCCAAAACCCTGTTACCTGGTTAAGCTGTAGACAAATATAAAGGATAACATTACATTAAGCCCTACATGTAGAGCTTGCACAGAACCTAAATTGGCTTGGGTTCCTTTGAGAGCCCTATCCTATGTGAGTACTGGTACACATTTGTAACGTAGTCTTCTCAACTAGACATTTTATTGTTCACTAAAAATATATTAAAATTGCAACCTATGCTCAGAAAAGTAATATTTGAAGATTGTGTTTTGAATACGGAATAGCCACATGGAACCCCACACATCAAGAGCAATTGGTGATTAATACACTTCCATGACGCACTGCATTCAAGCCAGGGTAACAATATGATTGCATGGCCCCCAGAGAGAACAATATTGATAGGGTAAACTACATATTATTATTATTATTGTTATTATCTTTTACTTTTCTCCTCAGGTGTAGTTACAACAGATAATATGCCTGAATGGAAGTGTGTTTGTACACTCTCAGGACATCATTCCAGAACTGTCTTTGATATCAACTGGTTAGTATGACCATATTATAAAAATATACACTTGAGAGGTTCTGGTTAAAATTATGTGCAAGAGGTGACTCCAATAGTACTATTTGCTGAGGGGTGCAGCCCTGAAGCAAATGGTACTTTTAGAGTCACCAAGGCCCATAGTTTTAACCAGTTCTCCGTATAGAAGGCATTGTATATTTGTTTTATATCCTGCATCAAAAAATTATTTTAACAAAAAAAAATTACCAATTTGGGGAGAAAAAATGAAATTTAGAATTTAAAAAATGTCAATTTTTATCAAAAAAGATTAAAAATATTTTGTTTTTCATTAAATTAAGATTTGATTAAAAAAAATATATTCGAGAACAAAATTCCCTAATAGCACTCCCAAATAGAAGTACTTTTTCAGAGCAACCTTAAAATAGTTAAAATATTTCTGTTCACATGACGAGCTCACAACCAATCAAAAACCAATAAATTTTTGATGCATGATATAAATATATATATATATATATATATATATATATATATATATTTAAACAAATGTCAGTTTTAAATAGCTATGGTTGATATACAAAATGATTAATAAAAGCATATAGGAAGATATACAATAACAAGTGTTAGGTTGATAATCTATGCTTATTCGAAAGTCAAACCTTGATTGGTGTACATTTATTGCTCTATGTTATCTACTCAAATTTCCTTGAAAGCTTGCTTTGCTTGTTCCCACAAATGTGATAGGATTACATTTGTATTACCTCTGAAACCTATCCAACAACCAACAACTGAAGGGTTTTGGGTGCAAAATATCCATTCAATATTGTTTAAATAGTGCTTTCAGAGGTTTAGATGGCAATACTTCAGCCTAAATTCGCAAAAAAAGCAGAAATATATGCCCAAATATTAAATGTTGAAGTGCATTCGCGATATCTATCCAGGCCGGATCGATATGATAATTTACAAAATATTTCAATTAGTAGGCAGTTTCCCGGCAAAAGTTGTATCATCACGTATTAGTCAAAACTTATTCTTTCACATGATTGGTAATAAGAGCTTCCATTTCATTTTTTGAGAGGGGTGTTTCCAAAACTGGTCCATACCTTTAAATTCTCATTCTCCTACATCATCTATTCTCCTAATAGGTGCCATCAGACCGGCTTGATTGCAACCTGTTCGGCGGATGACAGCATCCTCATCTTCAAGGAGGACGAATCTATCCAGGACAGACGGAACCAACCGACCTTTGACCTTGCTGTCAAGACGAGCAGAGCACACACCGAAGATGTCAACGGGGTATGCTGGAATCCGAAGCAGCCGGGGCTCCTTGCCTCGTGCTCAGACGATGGCTCCGTCAAGCTGTGGCAGTACACTTCGGAGTTATCTTGATATCTTCATACCTAATGAACTGAACTAATCTAGTCGTCAGGGATGCCATTTTTTTTTTTTTTAGGCTTTACCCTGATTGTAGGCCCTTATGCCTTCTCAATCAGGCTTCTCCAGGCTTCTTCTTGCTTCATATTGTACAGCACATATGAAACTCCTACACGTCAGAGTCTCTGTCAGGCTTGCGTTGTGAAACCAACTGATATCCCAGAGTCTTGAACTGGTGCTGAAAAGATGTTATGATATCTATCACCAAGCCTGATGAAGTGAACATATTCTGAACTGATATTTAGGGATGCCAGTTTTCAGGCAAAAGCCTGAATTAAGGCTCTGGCGATATATCTGGATTTTGGAGGCCATAGTTTTAGCTATTTTGTGTCGAGACGACTCAATATAGGTGATTTTCAGGCCCTCTGATATCACCGAGCCAAATGAAGTGAACTAATTCTGAACTGATAGTTGAAAACGGTGAAAGAGGCTGGTTGATGTCATTATATCAGGGATGGAATCCCTTACTCCTCACCTGATTGAATGAAGAATATTCCAGTACTAAAAATTACGAAATTAGCGAAAAGAGGAAAAATCTCTCTCGTGATACAGTATACAAATAATACACTGAAGTGAGGGCATTTGTAAGAATTACCCACACAAGGTACCTTTGGAACAGTCTAACGCCAGAGGCGATAACTGAGGATGTTTGTACTGTTTTGAAGGTACGGAGTGTCGATAATTTGACTGATGCCCAAACAAAATGCTGTGTATTATTTGTTTTATAAGATTATGTTTTATTTGTTATATAAAAAGATGTTTTACAACATGATTTTACTAATGACCAGTCATGAGCATTTGATAATGACTGGTCAATGGTCAGTATCAATACGACGTGTTAGGCAAAATAAATGCCTGGTCACGGGTACGCTCTCAACCAATTATTTTATTTGGATCCACGTCATCATTTTATAATAGGACATATTATCTGTATTAATGTTTGAGTAAGTTGAAGTCTGTAATTTTTTTCTAAAATTATAATTCCTATCATGATCATCGACATTTTCTGCTCAATCTTTATGCATGTATATTTACTTTGATATTTGTCTCATTGTTTCCAAGCAAACCATTTAATTTTCATGTGCCTTAACCTTCCTTATGCATTCAAAAGAATAATTTATCATTCTCATATACATGTATTCAATATTTTTCAACATTTATTGAGAATTCATGCATATATAAAGCTTATTCAAACTGACCTATTGTGGTTTCAAATTATGGTAATGTAATTAAATTCATATTTAACAATTGCATAATGTTTTTAAAACCAAGCAGGATATGCAAAACTGATAAGAAGATTGAGGATGATAATAATGATAACTATAATAAAAACACTAAGTATTAATACTATTTTCAGATTATATAGCAGTGTACTTCTTTAAAAAATGATAAAACATTATCTATATACCGGTACTTCATTTTCCATTTTTAGTTAGACTCGCTCCATATGAATTGTTTGATCTCGTCATCGAATGTCCTACCAGTTTTTATTCATATAGGGAGCTATCTGTTGCTCAGAAATACACATAGGTTTCTACATTGATTGATTGATTGATTGATTGATTTTATTTAGAAGGTTGGCAGGATTTTTCCTTGCCTAGTCTCACAGTGCAGACGCTGTTACATACTAATGAAGGGAATCAATCTTAACATGTAAGAAAGGGGGAAGGAGGTTTTAATTGGCGGAAAATACTGAAAGAGAGAAAGGGAAGAGAGAAGGGCAAAAGGATGAGAAATAGGTAGGTATGGTATTTATTGAAACATGCATCGCAGTTACATATACTGAATTGCGCATGGATATACAGTGCATTTTAAAAACAAGTGTACAATTTAAAACAGTATCATTTACATATTTATAAGTACATGTATATGTCACATGTTTATCCTTAATTTTGTACCAAATGTAAAATAAACGCAAAAATACGAACAAGAAGGAAATGGGGAATATGTACCTAAATAACATATAAAAGTGAGTAAGAGAGAAGGGAAAGATGTAGAGAAAAGAGATTCAAAATGGAAAGAGAGAGAGAGAGAGAGAGAGAGAGAGAGAGAGAGAGAGAGAGAGCGAGGAGGAGAGGGAGGGAAGGAAAGTGAGAAAAAGGGAAAGAGAGATATAGTGAAGAAAGAGCAGGAAAGATAGAGAGAGACGAGAGGGGGAAGAGTGAAAGGGGGATCTTGCCAACAATTAAAAATTACCTAGGAATTGACGATAAAAAGTTAAAATGGGAAAGGAATTAAAAAGAAAGATGATATGATCGACAGGCAGGTTCCCTGCATAACCCTCTCGCTGGTAGCCTTGTATACATTTTATTTACCAAGTAAATCCTGTGCTTCAATGGCTGTACCAAAGCTCGGTAGTGTTTGCATCATTGATGTCATTTAAATGACAACTATGTGGATGGGCGTAATGAAAGCATTTGGAAAGCGTGTATTTGAAGTACAAATAAATCAAAATTAAATGTCGGTACTGTGACAGTGCTCTATATTCATTAAAGAACTAATCTTATGATGAGGCCTTGTCTGTCATAAATGTAAATAAAGAAGATAATTAAGGACTGTCATGGCATTAGAGATTAAAATTGACAATGACAATTGCTGCATGTGACAGTGATGACCGCAAACATGATCTCAGCAGACGGACCAAGTGGGTATACACGTAGCTCTGGGGGTAAGGGGCACATGCCCCCACAATTAAATGGGCAAACGGGGGAAAGAGAGGAGAACAAAATAAATGAGAAAGAGAGAGAGTGGAAGAAAGGGAGAGGGAGAAGAAACTTAAAAAGGAACTTGACACGACCCCTGTGTTACCTTAGCGCTAACCACTGACCTTGTACATTAAAATCTCACCCACTATGACTCTTGCCCCCATGATACAAGTGCCCCCCTTTAACGGCTGGATCTGCGCTTTGCAACGGGGCGCGGTCAATATTGATGCTTTTATTACCTGCCACTTTTCTTTTGTAATATCACCAAAAACAAAAAAACAAAAAAATTACTAGGTTGGAGTCCTTGTGAGAGATATGGCGTTGTGTCCAAATCAAAATTTAATTCACATTTCGGACGGGAGTATCAAAAATTATCTTGTAAATAATTTGATAAAAAAATACATGTACTTTATGAAACTAGTTTCAATGAAGGCACTTACCAATACAATTTTATTAAATAAAATATCCCATAATAAATTATGAACCTTTATAACCTTCATAGACAGGGGCGGCCGAGCGACTTCCAAAGTGGGGGGGGGGGGGGGGCACCAACAAAAAAGGGCACTTTCTGGAAAAAAAGGGCACCTACATTGGGAAATCTCAAAGCGAAAATATACCATTTTTTAGACATTAATTGATATATACCCCTACATTGTGATTACATAATCAAGGATGATTTCATTATTTGTTTCTCTTCATACATCATACAAGATATCGCTTAAGCATCATACTGTACAGTTGGGTGTGATGTCTGAATATGCATTTACGAGCGAGCGAAGCGAGCGAGAAAAATTTTAAAGATCTGTGAGGTCGCAGTGCGAAAAATTACATCTTATAAAGAGGAAAAAAGCCAATCGTGATGGGGTTATAAGCACATTCTCATAACGGAAGACTGAAAAGACCTTTGATAAGTAACATAATTATATCATCTTTAAATGCGAGCGAGCGCAGCGAGCGAACTTTGGGGAAAATTGCTCTTAGTCGCTTTAAATAAGGGGCACGTTTAATGATTACATGAAAAGGGGGCAATTATCGAAAGGGATAAGACACTTATTAGAAAAGAAAAGGAGCACGTGTACAAAGGATAATTATAAGAGGTGAAAATGAGGCATTTTTTCACCTGAAAAGAGGCAATCACCAGTGATGAAAAAGAGGCGTTTACGAAAATGGGAAATAGGCATCTGTTGACGGAAAAGGGGCACCCATCAGATTTTGATAGGGGCATTTATAAGTAAAAGGGGCACGTATCATTATTAAAAGGGGAATTATCAGAGGTGAAAAAGGAGACTGACCAGATATGAAAAGGGGCACTTATGAAAATGTAAAAGGGGCACTTATAATAAAGGAAAATGTGCATTTGTTGAATGAGAAGGGGGCACTTATTAGAAAGGGAAAGGGGTAGTTATGAGAAGGGGAAGGAGCTCTCTCTTTTTAATGGGGGCACTTATCATAAGGAAAAGGGGCACTTATTAGAAAATAAAAGGGGCACATATTAAAACGAAAGGTGTGCTCATCCGAGTTTAAAAAAGGGGTAGTTATTAAAAGGAGAAGGGGCACTTCTTACAAAGGAAAAAAGGTGCAGTTGTCAAAGTAAAAGGAGCACCTCTCAGTTTTGAATAGGGCAATTATCAGAGGTGAAGGGGGCACTTATCAAAAGTGAAAAGGGGCACTTCTCGTACCTGAAAAGAAGCACTTACTAGAGATTAAAAATGGCACTTATTCAAGATAATTTCAAGATTTATGAGAATGGAAAAAGGACACTTATTGCAAAGGAAAATGGGAACATGTCGAAGGAAAAGGGGCACGTGTCAAAAGTAAAAAAGGGCACTCGTCAGAGGTGAAAAGGGAGAAGGGGCACGTTTAATAAGTAATAGGGGCACTTGTCAAAGGAAAAGGGGCACCTTTCCTATGTAAAAGGGGCACTTCTTACAAAATAAAAGGGGCACTTTTCCTATGTAAAAAGGGGCACTTTTGGGGTATCTGAAAAAGTGGGGGGGCACTGTGCCCCCTCTGCCCCCCCGGGAGAACCGCCTCTGTTCATAGACCTTGACCTCGTACACTTTATTCCTGTTTTCACACTCCCTTGCTATTAACGAGTCGTCTTTCTGTAGAGTTTCTCTACTCCTATAATATACTCCGATAATAGCATTTGATAGATAGATAGATAGATAGATAGATAGATAGATAGATAGATACATGGTATTTTATTGCATCTGTCATGAATGGCATTTTTACAACTGAATTGCACATGAATTACACGAATTGGATATATACATTGTAAAAAACTTACATAACATTTAGTTAAAAATTATTTAAACGTGTCACGTTACTACTGCCTCAATACCATTAACAACTAAACAAACCCTTAATGAATATAATTTCTACCAAAGAAAAAAGAAGAAAGTTATAAACATAATTACATGCCAACATAATATGGACTGAGGCAAATTAAACACAGTTCGTTATGTTACAATATTGCAGTTGTGGGTATAGTGGTAAAATAATCAAGGATAGCGGCAAGAGGAGGTGTAAAAACATTTAGTAATATTTGAAATAATTATTCAAATTTAAAAGTAAAAAGAAATTCAATATCAATAAAACATACGCTTCTTTTTATAATCATTGTCAGTTTTAGAATGAAATAATAATTTGTACAATAACGGAAACAGAGGGAGGGATCAAGGGATTGACAAATGGGGAGAGGGAGAGAGAAGAAGAGGGAGAGAGAAGAAAGATATATATATATATATATATATATAATAAGAGAGCGAGGATGATTATAGTTGAAAAATATGTGCAAATGTCAAGGACAATTTCCTTTCTCCAAATTGATTTTTTTTAATTTGCCATATTGCAAACGTGAATTAAATTTCGTTGCTGCAGCAATAGATGCATCAAGTTGATGAATTTCGACAGTTTAAAAATTGATGATTTAATACATTTTGTAAAGGCTCTGGAATAATGTCATTAAAATTTTGCACGCTCAAACTTGTTAGTAATGTACCAATGTGTATGCGTTGAATGTAATGAAATTGAAGATTAAATCTACATCCAGTTTGTAGCATTTTTTTGCTTGTGTGTTTGTTTATCTTTCTCATTCTGTTTCTACCTTTATTATTTAGTTTTTTATTTTAAAAAATTGACTGCATGGGTGAAAGTAATCTCGTTTTGGCCAATATTTACTTCACGTCTTTCGTAACCACTTTTATTTTTTATTTATTCTCGCAATGAATTTCAAATAACCCGACATTTTTTTCTTCTGAAAATCCCTATTTCTAAATAATAAATATGATCCAGCTTTTCCTACATTGTACAACACTTGCATGTGACTATAACAAAAAATCCATACCAATTTTGACTCCAGATGATAAACATCGTGTTTTTTAAAGATGTGTAGATATTGCTTATGATTTGCCGTCATGCTCCGAATAAGTATTTCTCATTTGACATTTCTCGGATCGGTGGCGAAGCGAAGGTCGGCCACTGAGGGGCACTGACATGATGGGGGCGACCGGACGAGATGGATGGAATGTAACTTAACACGACCATCGAATAAGGGCAGGATGTGGGAGAATTAGGTCATGTAATCTTAAATTTCCTTTCCAATCTCCCTTTATTCTTCATTCTCACCTGAGCTCCCATTTTGTCACTTTTCGTCATTCGATCCGGGGCGGTTACCTCCACCCACACCCCCCCCCCCCATAGCTACGCTACATCATATTGTGCAGGGTAAACATTAATACGTATTCAAATGTCCATCAACGCCCTCGCAAATCTCTCTCGATTCCTACACGCACACGCACACAATGCAACAATGCACTAATTGACATAGTATAGTACTCATGTTATGCATTTGACGGTTCTTTTGTGCAGGACACATGCAGAAAAGCGCAAATATGACCGAATATCCAACTCCAAATAATATCATGTTTGACGACATTAGAGCGTGCTCATTCTATGGTTGTCAATCAAGCCAATTTGTTGGCCCCATTTTCTCTAATTTTCTCCAGAGAGAGATCAAGAGAGAGAGAGGTAACATTATACGTGCTATATTCATGATAGTACTTTAAGTTATTTACAGTTGTCATGCGAAGTAGTGATTAAACACCTCTACATAAAAGTTTGACAAGCGACCTACATATACAACATGCGTTATTTTGTCGGTGCATTTTTTTAATTTTTTTAATTTTTTTATTTTTATTTATTTATTTTTTTTTTTTTTATT